TCCCTTCCCCTGTCTTTTTTCTCCTCATGTTCTCTTTCCGTTGCAGCCGTCCTCCAGATCTGACTGCCTTATCTCGACATGACCTGGAAGATAACCTGATGAACTCTCTTGTCATTCTGGAGGTTCTCTCCTGCCAGCTGCGGAACTGGAAGAGCCAGCTGACTACCCCTCACCCAGAAGTTCAAGACAGTAGCACACAGACTGACACAACTGACACCTCTCCCAGTGGGGTAAGGTTACTCCCAAAGCGTGGAAGATTCCAGTGGGCCCTTTTCCTCAGAATTTAAGCTGAGAAGCTGCCAGAGGGCAAAGGAGACTCCTTAACCACAAGTTCATCCTTAGAATATGTGTAGAAGTTGTGAATCTGGAAAATCCCTTAAAGATGTGGGTACTCACTCTACTCCTGGGGTACGTCAAAACTTTGCAAGGGAATGCACGCAAAGAAAGCTTTAAAGGAATTGGTTTCTAGATCTTCATCTTCCAAATGTACTGTACTAATTTTTTTATTTCCTACTTCCCCATTCTCAATTGCCCTTGCCCACTTCACTGAAGAAGAGCATATTTACTACCTGTCCTGAACCTTACATTGTCAAGGGATAACAATCAAATGACGATAGAAAATATTTGTGTACGTGCTGAGAAGTGAATGACTGTAATGATCATATAACACATCATTTTTGCAGGCTTTCAACAAAATTGAAGGAAGGCTTTAATTATAGTAGTGGATCATTAACCATTTTTAATGAAAATTCACTGTGAGATTTTTTGGCATATATCTACAAATGAGCTCCTGCAATTGAGTGACATGCCCTTCTTCCCTTCTTTCATTCCTACTTATTCTCATTATTTATGTGAAGATTTCTCAGTGCTTACCTCTAGAAGGATGGAAAATAGAATTGTTGCTGAACCATGTCTTAGTGTAGGAATTCTAGTAACCCACAGACATGACTAATGAGGGGAGGGAGGGTCCATCCATTTTATTAATAGATGAGTATCAAAATTTTACTAGGTGTGTTTGTGATTTTATTAAAATTATGATATTACTACAATGATTAGTATACAACTGATGAAAATATTTCTTCATCCACAAGAAAGTTTTTTTACTTAAAAGTGTATGGTCAGAGGAATTGAAAAGAAATTTAATTTAAATACAGATGAACTTTTGTTGTTGCAGATATATTGATTAATAACAAACTTTGAAGTAGAAAGATATATTACATTATGATAAAATTCTGAGCGGAGTAAAAATATAGGCTCAAGGAGAAAAAGGGATGATATAAAATTTCTGGCTGTTGAAGAGCTGTTGAAGTTCATGTATTTTTCTAAAGGTATAAAATAGGTATTAAATCATTATGGTGTATATAGTATTTATACCATTGGATATATTAGAGTGATTTAATAGTTTTATTTCAAACTGTCAATATTTATAAAATGGTGGAAATTATCGTCTTTGTAACAATTTAAATGTAAGGGTACTCAGACTTTCAAAATTATTATAGCAAATAGGAGAGGAAAATGGTTTAAAGACCAATGTTCTAGAGGACTAGCTGTGACAACATGGCTGAGGAAGGAAGAGAATGGTGTCGGGAAGGAACTGAGAGTCTCATTATTGTGGCTGGTGAGGTTAATAGGCGGCTGCTGCTAAGATGTTTTCCAAATGCCCAAAGACCTCCCTTGGATTGAAAATATCCTCAAATAATTACTTTACCTTTTGCCAAAATCCTGGAAACCATAGGCTCATCATTCCACTAGCTGCTCAGTTTCTCTTCTGTGTTTTCTTATTTTTGTATCCTTTCCTCTTGTCCTTGATCCCGTTCCCCATCCCTGAGTTGGCCTTGTACCTCCTCCCCGGAAGCTTGCCAAATCCCTCTGGAGGCCACTGAAGCAGAACCAAAGAGGGGAAGTGACAGCACCTTCAGCCATTCCCTATCATAGTGCCATGTCCTTGCCGCTTGGCTGCCTCCTTTACACTAATCTCATCACCTGCCTGACTGCCCAGCTCTGAACAGTATACGGGCCTTGTCCAGGGCTCATGGGTACTGTGTGCCTTACTGCACGTTGCAGCAGGGAATGATGACTGCTTTGCTGGGGAGGGGGGCGATGAACTCCAAGAGCTCTGCCTCCTTAAATCCAGGCCGCTGTAACAGTGACTCAGCACTACTGCTCCAGCAGTTGGATTTTCCTAGATGATTGCTGCCTTGCAGCAGTAATGAGGGCTCCCCACTTTTCTCTCAGAACTTTGAAGTCTTTCTATAGCTTTGCTGCCTTTGAGATCATACGTATCTACTC